ATTAATGTCACCATATCAAATAATTGATCCTAAGATTGATGACAAAATATTGTGTGCATTTCTCTCTTGAGACACAACTGAATAGCTCTGAATGTGCTATGAAAGAGGACATCAGAAGAATATATGGCCTATTCATTTTATTAAATGAAGACTGAGTGCTTTTTAAAAGTGTTTGCCTGTAACTTAAAGAATGCTTTATCCTGACTGTGACAAATCCTGGAGCTTGCAGACCCACTAATAGAGGAGCAGTGGCGTTTGACAGCTGTCCAATGAGAAATTGCAGGGCTTGCTCTCCACCCAAACCAATGACAGGAATACAAATTTTTGTTCAAAGTGCAGGAGAGCTAAGGTTTAAAGCCAGAGAAGATCCGTCTTCTTTTCTGTTAGCCCGTGTGTTTTCCACCCACGTATAATGGAGTCATTTAAACATCTAAATATCAAACGCGGGAAAAGAGAGCACTCATTAACAGCAGCTATGACTGACAATAGGGGTGTCATGGGCTATGCATGATGCATCAAAGAGCTGATTTACAAACTACAAGTGGGGGTGGGAGTAAGGGGTGCATTAGCTGAGACGGGTTAAACAAAAGGGAGTTCTCATTCTTTCTATTTTTCTCTCTGTCCCTTTCACTCTCACTCACTGTCCATCTCACTCTCTCATCACATATTTAGTTCTGGCACTAAGAGCCACAGATTGACAAGCAGCCAGAGCAAAGCCACTCAACATGGCAGCTAAATGCATGGTGGGAGTACAAAGCAGTGCTACTCTGTCCATGCCTGACAACGCTGACTTCTACACGATAAAATGAAGCACTTGATGATAAGGAAAAACTTGGCATGTTCTTACTGTATCGTGTCCTTCGATAGTAAAAGGCATTAGCATTTCACATGCTTAGGGAAAAAAACTCTAAGTTAAAAAAAAGAAAAACTTTCCAGAAGACATTAAAATATATATATATAGGTCTGGGGGGAAGAAAGCTGTATTTTCTTTTGACACTTTTTATGTACTCCTGACTCCCCTGCATGCTTTTCCTTCCTCTCTTCGCTTCACTTCCACTTCCCTCTCCCTTCACTTTCTGCTCTAACAAGCAGTCTGATTTCCCCTGGAAAATCTACACTCAGTAAACGTTCTCACTGGCTCTGATGCTCCTTACTGAGGTATTAATACTCCAGGGAATAAAAACCCCAAATACTATTACAAGCATTTGTATGGATCAGTACATGCACTGTAAAACTGTTTTGCTGATGAGTACACAGCATACATAGAGTATGCAAATGTATAAATGTAGCTGTTTAAAGCTTGCAATTACAAAAATTAACTATTTTATTTAATGCACAGTTTTCTAATAGCATAATGATCACAACATGATCATCGCCTGTCCTTGGTGTATTGTTTACTTTTGCCACATCTGCTTAGACAGTGATTGGTGGCTTTTATTTAAAACTATTCATGTATGCAGTGAATGGTTTGACAGGCAATACTAACTCTGGGAAACTAGGTTTCCTATTCAAAATTAAAATATGGATGTGTCAAATAAAATATAAACAACAGCGATTACTGCGAAAGCTGTATATTTATTTTAAGATGGGATTAGAAAAAAACTGCCATGTGAAGAAGAAAGAGAATGTGAAGGCTTACTACCTGCAAGTATATTAAGTCTCATTCACTATATGTAGGGAAGAGCAAATGAGGGTCTGGTTTCAGCATGAAGGTTCAGCATTTCAGCACCATGGACAGACACTGAACTGTTAGGTTTAAAAGCTTCAGCATGATGGACAAAAGCAGAGACTGCAATGATGCAATGATGACTGGTGGAAAAGAAAGAGTTCTTAGTCACACTTTTTCAGGTTTTCGTGGAAAAGTATTGAATACAGTAGCTATAAATGTTTAAGCATACATCTATGTGCCCACAACATAGCTTTTTATCTGATTTTTTTTTTTTAAAAAAGCAAATTGTAAGATCTTATTGATGTGCTCATGTTATTAATTATTTTACATTTTTACATTTAATGACATGCACCTTATTGGGGAAGGGGGAGGCACTGTGGATGTTTTGTGCATTTGTGTCTGTGCTATCTTCAGTAGTTAGCCTCTAACATTCAGACAATACTCACAGTTAAGACTAAAATTTAAGTTGCACAGCTATAGTACATGACCCAATATGCACTAAAATGAGGCGTCCTATTTTCACATTTGGTATTTGATTCATTTTATCCCTGGGTGAGTGAGTCATGGCTTCTTGTTTGGATCAACGTGTCTTCAGCTGCAGTTTCACACTGCAGGAAAGTTGGAGTATGCATGCTTATTTTGGGTCAGGCCTCCTTAAATAAGTCATAGTGATTTCTCCGTACTTGGGAAGGACGGGGCTGTTGTGCAGCAGAGCCTTGATCAATGTTAGCCGCTCAGCACTGGATGAGTTGTACAGAGCGGCCTGAGGCCCAGCCAATGTGGCTGCCATGCTGCCCTCATTACAGTAATGATCTCCCAGTACACAGCTCCCACGTGAGGCCCCATTAACACAGTAACTGTCGCTATACCTCGCAAGCTCTTTGAATTTCTTTCTGTAACAAACATATTCGCATTCACTCAAGAACTGACAAGTGGCCATACTTTCTCTACAAATTACAATTAAGCAAATCAAATAAAAACCTAGGCAAGCCATCTCGAAAGGCATGTGAAAATATTTCCTATGCAAAAACTTAGATGTTGATATTCTAAGCATGGCACTATGGGTTATTGGATTTTCACTTTACATAAATAGGCTTAAAAATTGATCTTGTGTCACACCTGTGTCTTCGTCAATGCTAAAAGTGCCCAGGCCGCTGCCTCCTTGGATAGAGTACTTAAGCACGCCATCTCGTCCCTTGTCGTCATCTTTAGCGTTGACAGTCATGACACTTGTACCTGCACGAGAGTTCTCCTTCACTGAGCCTCTCACAGCAAAGTCGGAGAAGTAAGGCGCATACAAATTCTCATTGACGTCCACCACCTGAAGAAATGTAATGGTGCACATTAATTATGACAGAAAAACTGTGTGATATTATCTGTAGTGTGTAATCGTGTGGCATCAGTAGACCATCTGTATATTTCACTGTTGTACGTGTTATTGCCTGTCTTGGAAGTTAAATGTACCGTGAGCTAAATGCTGTCACGCATTTAATCATCTATCTAACCAGTGTCATAAAAATGAGCGAAGAATTAAAAGAAGAAAGATCTAAAAAAATACAATTGGACATCTTATCAACAACTGGAACCTTGAAAATAACCAACCAAATCATCAATGATAATGTAAATTGACAAAATTGATCATTGGCTTTTTTTTTTCTGGACAGCACACAAGAGAGGTAAAGAAAAGAGTGCAGTGGGTGGAGAAAAGCCTCAGGGGTGATTTGCCAATGAAGAATAACAATAAGAGTTAAAGGGAAGGTTCACAAAATGATAGTGAGACCTGTTATGATGTATGGTTTAGAGACGGTGGCACTAACCAAAAGACTGGAACCTTGACACTAACACCCCAAATTATTGATAATAATGTAATGTAAGCTGACAACATTGATCATTTGCATTTGAGAGGCAGGGCTGGAGGTGGCAGAGCTGAAGATCACTGGGAGTATCCAGAATGGACAAGATTAGAAAAAAGTATGTCAAAGGAACAGGTCAGGTTAAGCCAGTTGGAGGCGAAGTCAGAGAGGCAAGACTGAGACTGTTTAGATGTGTGGAGAGGAGGGATGATGAAATTATTTTACAAAGGATGTTAGATATGGAGTTGCCGGTTAGGATCACACATAAGATTTGTGGATGAAGTAAAGGAGGACATGTAGCGGATTGATGTGACAGGTGCTAGGGAGAGGGTGAGATAGAGATGGTGATGGAGATGGTGATCCCTGAGATGTAGAATATTTGAGCATGTGTGCTACGCACCTCTACCACCACAAACGTCTGGCTCCTAAGGCTGGGGATTCCTCTGTCTTCAGCAAGCAACGTCAGGTTGAAAAACTGTTGTTTCTCAAAGTCCAACTCCTTTCTAATTATCAATACCCCACTTATAGGACCGATCTATAAAAAGAATTACATCATAAACAATCTATACTTCAATAAATGTAAAAAAAAAAAAATAAAAATCTTAACGTGTGCAAGATTCTGTTCACACTGTGTCATCACCTACCTCAAAAGTGCCATTAAAGTCATTGATTAAGGAATATCGAACTTGTCCTCCAGGTCCGATGTCTGGGTCCTGAGCCTGCACCCAGGTAATCACAGTCCCGGACGGGAGATCCTCTAGTACTCGAGCACTATAGCTGGTAGGGATGAAAGCTGGAGCGCAATCATTGACATCCTCCAAGATTATACTTAGAGTAGTCACTGAGGACCTTCGAGTGCCTCTTTCAGCCATGTCTCTGACTTCAATCTTCAATATGAATATTGGAAATGTTTCTCTATCCAGCTGGCTAGCAACAAATACACTTCCAGTTTCACTGTCAATACCAAACTGAGGAACACTGGTGAGCATTATATAGGAGAGCTGTCCATTTTGACCCATGTCTCTGTCAAATGCAGTGATGGTTATAACCTCCATGCCAATGGCTGCGTTTTCTGAAACAAGGGCAGAGTAGCTGTCCTGATAAAACTGAGGGTCATTGTCGTTTGTATCCTCAATGATCACTGTCAGTAATCTCCAACTGGACATCTGAGGAATGCCCTGATCATAGATGGTGATATTAAGGAAGTAACGATCCACTCGTTCACGGTCAAGTGGCCGCAGTATAGTTATCAGCCCACTCTCCATGTTAATATTGAAGCAGTTTTCTTTGTTACCATCAGAAATGGAAAAGAGAACGCGGCCATTAAAGCCTGTGTCACCATCTCGCGCTCGCACCTGAAATACACTGGCACCGGGAATGAGGTCTTCTCTCACGAGAATGCTTGTAGGCAAGGCCTCAAACTGTGGAGGCTGTTTGTTTGTAGAGAAAATATCTGTGTAGCTCTCATCTGGTCTCGGTCTAGCCATAGCAGATGCCTTTGAGAGCATTTTTTCTGCCAAAAGCTGGGCTACCCTTGTGTCCTTGCAGTTGAACCCTCTGGGGGGAATCCTACCCCTCACCACTGATATATTCACAAATGTGGGATCAGAGAACATCTCTCCATCTGTTGCAACAACTTTGAGGTTGAATACCCCACTTTTTAAACTATCCACTGCTAACGATCTTTTCAGTGACAAAGCCCCAGAGTCTGGATTTAAGTTAAAATAATCTAACTCATTCCCAAAGAGTATCTTGTACTCAACTAGTCCTAGCTCATCCATGTCAATTGCTGACAAGGTGACAACAGTCTGGTTGACAGGGAAGTCACGGCTTATCATCCCTCTGCAAGAAACCTTCTCAAAAAGAGGCTGATTGTCGTTGATATTTATTACACGTATGGTGATATTAACCTCACTCTCCCTTCTGTAGGGTGAACCCCAGTCAGAGGCACGCACTGCGAAAGTGTAGATATCATCTGATGATTCAAAGTCCAGATCTCTAGTAATTCTCACCTCCCCTGTTTTCTGGTCTATGCTAAATGGAAGAGACTGTTCACCACTAATAGTGTGACTTACATACCCATTCTCCCCTTTATCATCATCCACAGCAGAGACCACAAGGACAACAGTACCTACAGGTACGCTCTCGTTGACGGCAATATTGTAGAATGGCTTGTTGAACACTGGAGAGTTGTCATTAGCATCCTCGATTTGAATTTGGACACTTGTTCGCTGCTCACTTATCATATCAACTACCTCCATCACCATGAAATCCTGTGATATCCTTGTAAGCTGCCTGGTGGTCATAATAACTCCAGTCAAAGGGTTTATATCAAAGTACACTGGATCTGAAGGGTTGCTGAAGCTGTAATTGACTCTCAGAGGAGCCGGGGATATTTTCACCACCTCTATAACAGAGCCTGGGGGAGCGATTTCACTCAGCGTGACTACATAAACATCTTTTTCGAAATTCGCCATCACTGGGTCCGGTTTTGTAACCAACAACTGAACAATTTGGGTATTAGAAAACTTGGGAGGCATACCTCTGTCCTTGGCCTGAAATGTTAAGTTGCAGCCATAAGGAAATGTATCCCAGCCTACAGCTTCCGACGTTTTAACTCTGTACTCGTTCCCAACAGGCGAACGATCAACCACAAACTGCTCAAAGGGATCCCCCTCAATGATGGACACCCACTCTATATCTCCGGATATCCCTTCATCTTTGTCCTCCACATTAATTACTGCATACACGGGATTCTTTTCTTCCCACGATGGAACAACAGCAACTGCACTAAGAACGGGAGCAAATTCATTTACTCGCTGCACAGTTAGTACAAGCCTTGCTGTGCTGCTGATACCACTATTCCCATAGAGTTTCATCCCTCTGTCAACCACCTGTACCTCCAGCTCAAATCGGTCCTGTTTGTCCATCCTTGGTCGACCAGTCAGGGTGATGACCCCGCTCGTCGGATGAACAGCAAAAAGATCTATTTTATTCTTGAAAAAGTAGTAAAACTCTCCATTCGAGCCTACGTCAGCATCTGTGGCTGTCACACGTCCTATGCTGGCACCCAGAGGGGCACTCTCAGAAACAACAAATGCGTAGGAAGTTGGGGAAAATAGAGGTCGAAGGTCATTTGTATCCAAGACCTTGATATAAACAGTGGATAAAGCCTCTAGGCCTCCTGGGGCCGAGGCCTTAACTGTCAGAGTGTAATTATCCTGTACTTCCCGATTCAGTATAGCACCACTACCTCCATTAGTGCATATGCGGAGAAAACAAAAATCTCCCATTACAAAATCTTCAGCCTGAAAGATGCCTTCACTGTCTCCCAACACAATGGAGTATTTTATCTCAAAAGACCAAGGTGGCCCGAGAATGATGCCCATGTTGACTTCACTTTTGGTATAGGTTCTTGCAGCAGAGTTCTCAAAAATGGACACATTATATGCAGGCTGAGTGAAGAGCAGCAAGCGTTGCCCTGCTCTAGAATCTGTCAGAAGCTGGGCACGGGTTGAGTGGAAACATATGAAGAGGAAGAAGAAAAAGGAAATAAAAAGGAAAGGAAGAGAGAAGCTGGGCAGGGGGTGCATATTTCCCCACCGATTGGGCTTCATCACTATCCCATCATCCAGTCACCCTGTATTTGGAAAGAATCACAATTAAAATAAAGGACTTGATTTTAGTTGGTCATTCAGTGGGAATGTGTGTTCTGCTGATAAAAAAAAAAAAACTTTGGATGATCAGGCACAAAAACATTTTAGAGGGAGTTATTATCACTACATTGATATGATGATGCTCACACTTTGCATTGAAACAATGAGAAAGGCTGTGAAGCCACGAATCAAATTCAAACCACAGCTCACTTGCACAGTCTCACAGAAACACATCATGTCATCTAAATAAAATAACAGGGGTCATAATAATAAAGACTCCTTTAACAGAGACAAGCAGGGCTGTGATATTTTCAGAAAGTAGAACATAATTACAACAAACACATCATTGTGAAAGCACAGACAACCAATTCAAAACCAATTTAACAAGTGTCAGACAACAAAAAGGGCAAAATAATAAAAACAAAGAAGTTTAAAAAAAATTTCTTCTGTTGCCAACAAATTTTTATTGCTGTTTTTTTAACTATTGATTTAGATACCGTGCCATTCACCTAAACCATAGGTCTCTACATGATCATGACTCAACTTCGAGAAACACTGAAATATACCGGATCTATAGATAGGACTGTACCAGCAATAAATAAATAAATAAATAAATCTTCAATCACAATCCAGCGATTTAACATCAACATCCCTGCTGAGAGGCTATGCCGGGAGATCTGCACAATCGTGTCCTGCAGTAATCCAGTGAAACGCGTCTCTGTGCAAAATCCACGAGTTTATTAACTTACACTTTGTTGCTACAGTGTGTCGCTTAAGTACCGGTGCTGGATACATTTGTACAGACTTCACTTACACATTGCAAAGTGACCTACCTTTAGATGAAACCGATGCAATCAGTGAAATTAAATCCTGTCCCATTCTCACTCAATAATTACAAAAAAGAAAAGAAAGAAAGGCAAAATGGCCGCTTATGGATGCGCGAAAAAAAGCCTTTAGATATATCCCGATAGGCAGTTATCTAGTACACTGCAGCTATCCTCGTAAAACTATAAAGCTATTGCCCTCGTTCCATGCACCTGATAACTGTAAGCCTGAGTGCAGAGGGCTATCCCGGCTTGCATTTGCAATAGTTACAACCAAACTAAGATTAGATAAGTTCTACATTCGTTTTCTATAAGGTTAAAGTCCGAGAGAGATGTGAACCAGAGAAGATGTCGCTTATTGCAAGTTTGGAAGCGGCCAGCATCAGCTGTCGCCTGTGTGGGACCGGAGTGCGCTCACAGGCTGGAGGTGGTGGCGGGCAAGCGCCGATCTTTGCCGAGTGCAGCCGACAACATCCGGAAGTGTAATGTTCAACACCTTAAAGCAAACGGCGGCGAGCTCTCTGACACACGAGCTCTGTAGTGGTTAGTTAGAAATCTGATCATTCGTTGTACTTCTCCCATCAGTCACTATGTCTGTTTTGTGTTATAACAAGGGATGTGGACAGCGATTTGATCCAGAAAATAACCAAGCCGGTGAGTGGTCTTACTTTACCATCGATGTCCATTGTATGTTCCCTGAGTGTTAGCAAGCTAACCTCTCATCATCTGGAAATTTCTACCGTGAGCAGGCCCGATGGGCCCGTGTTGCTAACCTTATGTCAGTTAGCTGTTCAACTTAATTCATTCGTTTCCTTCGTTTTATATCTGGTAAATAACACGTGGGCCCTCTGCGAGTTAGTTTTATCATGCTGTAGTTAGCATGTTAAGCTCCTGCGATTAAAAGGCAACGTTAGACTTTGCGGGACCGTTGTGCGGACGCTGTAAGCGGTTTAAAGTTTCAGAAAGCCGGTTTCTTCCACATAAAGTATCTAAAGATCGTTATTCACGTATACAACGTCACATGTGTAGCCATATAAGCAGTGTGAATGCGGCAGTCACATTTTCAATTCAACGTTGGAAGTTTTAATCACTTGCTTACAGTCGGCATCTCTTATAGTGATCTTAGTTCATCCGGCTGGTAATTATGTGACTGAATTATTAATTATTGTGAATCATTGAACTTTTTCCACTTGGCTTTAGAAGAAAGTAGATGCTAGCTCGCTTTTAACTGCTTTTAACTGCTTTCCATAATCAATGCAAACAATTTAAAGAGAAAACTGAAGAGACGAGTGGGACCAGTAGGCAGTTAACTACTTATTAAAAGAGTCACCACAGTGTGCAAGAAAATATATACAAGAAAAGCTTTAAGAAATACCAGCACAACAACAGGGAGGGAGGAGGGGGCAAACCTTAAAACACAAGTAAATACATGCACATTTAGGTAACAAGTGCTTCTGTATTATGAAACGTATTTGTGATTAAATCAGTTGCAAACACAGATAACACTCTGAAATGCACCAACTAAAAGCGATGAGCTCCATTGTGACTTTCGAGGTTACTGAGGTTGGCTGTCTGACCCTGATGTTGGAAGTTGAACTAATAATCATTCTCATAACTCGGATGATACTCCATCTGCTGGTTAGCCTACGTCGTTTCTATATTTGATAGTGTTTTCTGTACTTGGAGCATGTTTCAATAAGCAGTTGTATATCCCGCATGTCTTCCCTTGACAGTCAAAGATGTAAAATTAGTAGGGGGAAACTACTTCCTCCGCAATACACACAGTGAATGAAAAGAAGTGCAATGTATTTATCATTATCTTTTTTTTTTCTGACTGCCAGGCTTACCCTTGAGGGAAGCCAAACTGTGTTTTGAGCCCAGAGTGTTCACTGCCAGCAGCTACACATCGATACGTGAAAGTGAGAGCAGGTGGAGCAACCAGTTAGAAATCAGGACATTTTACACAGGCAAACATGATGTGTTTACATGTACCCAGAAGAGGGGCCATGTCTGTAGTTTAACTAAGATGCCACAGGGGTCAGAGGTGTTTCAGGCAAGCCAACAAAAACAACACTTTGCATTTCAAATATATATTTTTTACCTTTTTTAAATTTTAGCAAAATATAGATCTACGACATAGATCTTACAAATTTAAAGGAGGCCCAAAGTTCAGTTGGTGTTTCCAGCCTGTTATACAGTTAAAGTCCGGGTTTTATTTGACATATGGCAAATTTGTGATTATTAATATTTCATGCATGTAAAGGATAACTAATTAAATTCTACACTTTTTTGTTTTCTTTAAAAAAATGTGCATTTTCAGTCACCTTACAAAACCCACAAATACTGTGGAGTAGGAAGACGATCGCTGTCATTATAAGCCACACCATTCTCCTTATAACAGATGTGTTATTCGTGTTTATATGAAGCCGCATTGAAAAATAAATAAATAAAATTCAAGATCGCAATTTTGTCTTCAGCTCCCACGACAGAAACCTCAAAGTGACTTATTTCCTTTCTTTAGAATAGTCCACCTCTATCCTCAAGTAATCTAACATTGTGCACACCCCCTGTGTAGGAGTCCAGTCTGATTTCCATTTTAATGGGATGCTTCTTTTCTCATAACAGTAGAGTATATTATCTTTACCTTCAGAGGTATGCAAGAGGTGTGTCAAAGTCAGGAAGCACAGATTGGGCACAGCTCTGGCTGTACTACAGGGAAAATGCTTGATTTATGGTACCCACCGGCCAATTTTCTTTATTCGTTCTGCAGCGATTTATTTTTAAAGAGTAGATAATGAAAATAGAATACGAGTTACAGTAAAACCTCAAATAATGATGATGGTCGTGTGACTAAAGTATATCACAAATTTGTTATTTTCAAATATTCATACTGTTTTTAATATATTGGTTAAATGTGTATGTATATATTGTACTTTGTGCTCTGTAGATTGCTCAAGTAATAAAAATTTGTTTTTTGATAACTAAGGATGTTCATGCCATTCTGTCTTTCCGGTAAACACTTCTTGTAGTTATTGGTATATATGTTGTTGTTGTTGTTGTTGTTGTTGTTTTTAATCCTACAGTTTACATATGCACATATTAGAATGTCAGTTCAAATTTTTTGCATTATGTCTTTAAATCATTCTGAGTACCTTTTAATAAATACTCTGAGTGGCCAAACTTGACTGCAAACTACCCATCATTACATAAAGTCAGCATTTTTCAAAACAAACGTACACTTTTCCACAGCGGCTATTTAGAGCAGCCTTGTAAACAGTCATTGTTCCCACAACTACACGATTTCTCCCCAAAGTTAATCAAAGATGCATTTTGTTTTCACAGATGGCTGCACCTATCATCCAGGAGTCCCAGTATTCCACGATGCCTTGAAGGTAAAGCACCCGAAAAAGCACAGCTAGCTTGTGTCCTCTTCCTGTTATTTGATCAAAGCTAATGTTTCTGTTATTTCCTTCAGGGATGGTCCTGCTGCAAGAGAAGAACTACTGACTTCTCAGACTTCCTCAGCATTGTTGTAAGTTCTCTGTTTAACCTTAGTCGTTTTCTCTGCACTATTCTCCATGGTGATGTCTCTGTTGTTTCATAGTTATTGACTGGCACCTTTGCCATGGCCAAAACAGCCTGAGCTTTTATTTTGTGCCAGTCCAACACGGTGACCTTCTCCTCACAGGGCTGTACAAAAGGTCCCCACAACAAAGAGAAGCCCCCTGAGCCGGTGAAACCAGATGTGACATCTTCAGGAGAAAAGAAGGAGTTAGAGGACCAAAAGCCAAAGTTTAATGAGTACATCATCTCTGCACCGAAACCTCAGGAGGCGATATGCAGACCAAGGTTAGCATCAGCCATATTTTTATGTTTTTTAATGCGTTCATGTGAGCGATAGCCATTTCTGGAGGCATCATGTTTCTGTGTTGTCATTTTTTTTTGTGTGTGTTGCACTTGGACCTAAGGCTGAACGGATTACGGTTTTCAAATCTAAAGTCAAGGCAACTAAATTGTCATGAAAAATAAGCTCTGTTTACGAGGTATTTTTAGGACTTAAATCTTCAAACGTATGCTAAGCATCAACGGATACTCTGAAGTGTTCTTACCAAGGTTTGGGGTTTTGTTTTTTAACCTGGGTGGTTTCCCCCACTGTTAAAAGAAAGTGGACAGGCTCAAGCACTTAACACTGAAATATTAAAGCCCTTCTCAAGCAGAGTATAGATCCTAGATTGGGTTTGCACCAAAAATTACCCTTCCAAATGATTACTGCACATGGAGGCACTTTTTTTTTTTTTTTTTTTTTTTTTTTATAGTATTTTAATATATATTTGTTGTTATAGTCCTGATGAGCCAGCGGTGAGATTGCAGCATAAAGTCTCTGCATCTCTGAAGCAGGCTCTGGAGAAACTTAAACTAACTGAAAATGCTGAAGAGACAAAAGGTAAGAGCTGAATTTGTTTTTTGTATTTTTTGTTTCTCTCATTACCTCTTACATTTTAGACAGAAAGGTGATGGTGTCAGTAGGACTTCTGCTGGGAAGCTGCCATCGTCTGTGTCATTCACATAATATAATTTGAGTTAAAGCTTCATAAGAGTCAATGTACTGTTTTATAATTTTCTTCATGGGCTCAATTATTTTCTCTTTATAGAGGAAGAAAGTGACGAGATCAAAATTGGAACGTCCTGTAAAAACGGAGGCTGTACTAAAGTAAGTACTAACAGCAGCTTTAATGTATGAAGTCACATTTGTTTCATATGTTGTATTGTTTCTTTGTAAGTATATGTGTAATTCCAAGTTGTTCGTGATAAATTGTATTGCAAAACTGCTCTCTGAAAAAGGGGAAGTGGATCTTTTTCCTCTGTCTCTGCATTTTCTCTGAGATGGATATAAAGCTAAGTTTTTGGGGGCTCAAGCTAATCGGGTCTGTCAGAGCAGAAACTCTAAGATTAGAACAGAAATTGTGAGTAAAATTGTCATTGACATGCGTAGTAGAAGCTTAGAGTGGGATTGTAGTGATTTACATAATTGTCCTTTAACTTGTTTGCTTGAAAGCCACAACACATTTCCCCAAGGGTTTCTTGCTTTTAGTTTATCCATAAGATTGTGTCTTTGTAGAAGCCTGGATTGGTACTTTTTTGGACTTTTAGCAGGAACTATTTTTCTAAAACATTGGTACATAGACTATTACAATAGTACTTACAGAATACAGTCAGTGGAAATGATCGTTTGCTGAGTTGCAAAGAAATTAAGAGACTGTCATTTCCAGAAAATAAAATGCATAAAAGTTCTAAATTGTTTTTGAATGTCATTGGGTGAAAAAAGTATTTAATCTCCCCAAAAAAAACATGAATTAATACTTTGTGGAAAAACCCTTGTTGGCAAGCACAGCAGTAAGATGTTTCCTGTATTTGGTCACCAGGTTTGCATATAGCTCAGAAGTGATTTTTTTTTTTCACTCCTTATTACAGAAACTCACTCCTTTTGTTTTCTATGCTCCTAATAAGCAACTCCAAGCTTCAGCTCTCTCCATAGATTTTCTATAGGACTGGGGTATAAAGACCAGCTAGCCACTCCTTTATTGTGTTAGCAGTATATTTTTGGGTCTTTGTAATTCTGGAATATTCATCTTCAGTGTTCTGGCTGATTGAAGGAGGTTCTCGTCCAACATTTGACAGTACATGCCTCTTCCATTGACCCTTCAATTCAGTGAAGTCGTCCTGTACCTCTAGCAGGGATAAAAGCATAGTGTTTCCCCCTCTGTGCTCGACTGTGGGCATGGCATTCTTTGAGTAATACTCAGCATTTGTCTTCCTCCAAACACAACCGAGTAAGTTGATGCTAAAGAGTTGGTCCTTGGTTATCTGACCACAGCATTTTCTCCCAGGCCTTCTCTGAATCATTTAAATGTTCACTGTCAAATTTAAGACGAGCCCATATTTGGTGGGAATCAAATACTTACATTCTAATCACTTCGAACTTTTATGTAACGTGGGATTTCTTTTTTTGTTTGTTTGTTTCCATGGATTTATGGTTGATATTCTGTCTCTCTCCATTAAATATGAAACTACTATAAAAATTGGAGGCTGTTTATTTCTTTTCACTGAGCAAACTTCCAAATTCAGCGGGGCATCAAATAATTATTTCCCCCGCTGAGCTTTAGATTTTTATAAGCAGGACAGTTGAGGAAGTTGTTGTTGGGCGCCTTCAGGCTCAACAAGAGTTGAAGTAACAAAGTTGGAATTCTAAAACTTTAACTCAAGACATTTAATGGTTGAAACAGAGCTAATTGCCTCATTTGCATTTTTTCACCTGACAAAAAAGCAAAAAAGGTGTTTGTGTTTGTTGAGGGCTCAACTGTTCTTGTTATCCTCAGAGTTTTGAAGGACCTGCAAGTGATTCGGATGTGTGTCTATACCATGCTGGATTTCCCATCTTTCATGAAGGGTTAGTATTACTGATCGTGTTTTCAAATTATTATGTAGAGAGTGTTAAATTCACCCGACTCCTTTCCACCTGTGTGTTTCTTACATTAATGCGGAATATTAGATCTGCTCTCTGTAAAAGAAACATGAAGGCACCATTAGGATTCTCCTGTTAGTCTTGTTTACCTTTTCTCTTGAGTGACAAGTTATTGACTGCTAAAAATCCAGCAGGTGTTATATCTTTCCTGCATCTCCAGGATGAAATACTGGAGCTGCTGTAAAAGGAAAACCTCAGACTTTAATACCTTCCTCTCTCAAGAGGGCTGTACAAAGGGAACACATCTATGGAGGAAAAAAGATGCGGTAGGTGTGCCAGCTTGGCAGCAAGTAATCATTTATGTGTGCAGGCCTGCATAAAGGAAACTCACCTGTGACTCCATCTAGTGGTGTCTGCTGGCGGAGGCTGAAGAGCTGAATTTGAACATTTGTCTTGTATGAAAATTCTTTACAGGGTAAGAAGGTGGTCCCGTGTCGGTTTGACTGGCACCAGACTGGGACACAGGTCATCATTTCTATCTATGCCAAGAACGCGGTCCCAGAGCTAAGCTATGTGGATGCCAACAGCACTACGGTGAGTCTATCCAATCGTTCCTCTTCATATCAAAACATCTTGGGTTTGGATTTTTTTCCTTCTTATTATCTAATGCTGATTTTTGCTTTTCTCCTTCAGCTCGACATACACATTATATTTGATGGAGAGAAGGAATTTGAGCAGAAAATCAGCCTTTGGGGAGTAAGTCTTATTTATTATTATGTTATTAGTCTGCACTACATTTCATTCAGTTTGAACTCATTTATTTTCTTTAATTATAATGTAATTTAAACCAACAGGAAAAATAAGATAAGAAATTTAAATTTCTTTCTTTTCTTTTTTTTTCGCACCCTGTTTGTTAACGGAGTCTTTTGTCTTGCAGGTGATAGACGTGAGTAAAAGTTTGGTGAACATGATGGCGGCCAAGATCGAGGTAGCCATGAAGAAGTCCGAGGCGATGTCCTGGGCCCGTTTGGACCTTCCTCCTCCTCCTGCTCCACCCAAGGAGAGCGAGAAGAAAAAATCTGACAGTGAGGATGAGGATGAAGATGAAGATGACTGATAAGATTGAAAATAAAGACACGGTGTGTATGTTTAACTGAACCCAAGATCACATGCCTCACAGTTAATTCGTTACCTCTTTAACTTTAGCCTTTCTTTGTCAACATCAGTGTTT